TACCAAATCTTCCAAAATTTTGGTATTTTCAACTATACACCTGCAAGAAAATAATACAAGGTAACTATGAGACAAAAAGATTGAATCAGTGTCTGTGTTTGTGATATAAGTATATTAGCTATTCAATTTCCAGATGCACATGCAGAAATAAACCATTATTGATAGTGTCTGTGAAAATGCTGTTACCTGGAATTGAAAGCATACTCCATCTTTCTTCTGGTTTCTGGGTTTCTGCATTTCCTCATAATAGGAAAGTAGTCCGGATATTTCAGGGAAACCTTGAACTTTTTTTGCGCATTCTGTAAAAATAATAAGAGCAGGTTTTTTTTAAGGGAGTAGAAATATGAAAATAGATAAATAAGGCATTGGAGAGAAGGTGCAGACAAGAGTAGGGTGTGAAAGGTGACATGCTACTGAGATTAGGATGACAAACCGGATTACAAACAGCACCTTTGGGCTTCTGTAGTGTTATGGTTGAAATCACAATCTGTGTACATTATCAAGTTTCAGATTGATGACTATATTAGACTTTTTTCACTAAAATAGTGAGTAGTAAGAAAATATAATCACTAGTATACATGTACCAGAGAAGTGTGAGGTAAATGACAAGACTTTTAATGAATTTAATGTTTGAAACAGTGATGAGATCTGTGTGGTACACTGGTTAGATTGTGATTTCTTCCAAAACATTACAGCTTTGTTGGAATCTAACATGTAAACACACTATACAGACTGTAAACCATCATAATTTTACAAGTTTAGCTGGGTTACATACAAAGACAGATATCATAGTGACACTTTCTTAAAATTTTGCCTCACAAATGCTATTAAAACACCAAAACACAAAAATTCCCAGCTGGGAAAATCAAATGGCTTACAGTATTAAGGAAACTTGATCTTCAGCAATTTTGGGTTGTCACTTGTACTTAAGAAGGTTTGAAATATGAGCAAATTTAAAAATGAAATACTGAACTAGTTTTCATAGTGATTGTATTTTAATATTATCCTCATTAGTCAGGATTTTTGGATATTGCAAAATGTCAAGTGTACACATACCAAATTTATTATATTATACTTGAAATGGAGGATCATTATCCCTTAAGTTACAAGACAGTAAACTACCACTACCTACTTGCTGTTGATATTTTCGAAAGCAGTCCCAAAAATAACCTCGTGGGAATTTCTTTGAAGGAGGATAGATCTGGAGATGAAGGCCAGCGGAAAGCAAAGAGAGACAGACAGGAGAGTAAAGGATTCACCCTGTTAGCTTAAACCTTCAACCCCTATGATTTCAATTGGAATGGAATAATCCAAAGATTTACCAATGGGAGGGTTAAGGTAGCGAGAAGGTTTTGTGACGTTTTTAAAAAAAACATTCTCTGTCTGTTGTCTCGTTCAGAACAGTAATTTAGGTTATATATATCAAAAGACTAAGTATAGAGGTGCAAGTTCGCACAAACTGGACAGACATTGTTTACATAATTATCACGTGACATCAAAAATGGCGAACCTTGTAAAAATGACTAAGTACGCGATTGCGAGAGCACACTGTGGAATTTCCTGG